CTAGCTTTCAAATAAATAAAAAGGCACAAGTTAAAAAAAAATGAAAAATAATTTCACTGTATTTCAATCAAAATAAAATATTTTGAAATAACACTACACATGCTCAAATTTAGAGTACCCAATAATGAAACAGTAAAAAAAAAAAAAAAGAACACAGGATTTTCATAATTCTACTTTCTCAAAAAAAAGAAGTTAAACTATAGTTATTCAAATAAGTATATTCTAGCACAGTGCTTAAACAGGCAAAGATGACTTATCCTGAAGTCCTCTGACCTTATGATAATTTTGATGGCATATCCAGTTTCACACAAGCCTTCTGAATGGCTCCGAGAGTAGCACAGGATTCAAAGTCAGGTAAGTGAGTATACACAAAGATGTCACCATAGAATTGATAACAACAAATAACTGAAGAAAAAAATTTTGTGATGCTCTAAGGAAAGACAGTAAAGAGACAACAGGAATTTAAAAGATTACATGTCCTCAGCTTATTGGTGGGTATACAAAGTGTACAAAAATATATAGGAGTGAAATTGACATGTTGAGATATGTTTATTGCTTATAACCTTATCTTATTCATGCTGAACAGTGGTCTTCCTTTATTTTATTTGTTGTTTATTTAGTAAAACATCAATCTTGTGACTATAAAGCAAGTTAAAGATGTCATTGCAAAAATTTAAAAAGAAAGGAAGAGGAAGGGAGAGCGGAAGAGAAATATTACATTCTTAAAGTTATATCTATGAACTATATAAAATTTGTTCTATTTATAGAACAATACAATAGTTCTAAAGATTTAATACAAATGTTAAATTTGCATGTCTGGCATAAGCCAATAAGTAAAATTCATAAAAACACATATATGTGAATTTTCACAATGCTTTTGTAATACATAATATGTGATACTGATAAAACGATTGTGAATTAATTAACAGTTCATTAATCAAAACAATGTCACCAACCATGTAAGTGAATAATACAATAACAATGCTGAGTCAAAAGAAATATCCAGGCAACACATAATAGGAAGGCAATCCTGCTGTGAACTGCAATGCATTCATCTCACTTGGTCTTACTGAGTATCTACCCCACATTGTTTCATTTCATAACAATGCTTGAAATTGATAAAGCAGATTATTTTCAAACCTTCCACTTGGATTGTAAATTTAATCCAGGCTCAAGTTCATTTGATATTAATAAATTATTAAATCCATTTTGATTGCTTATCTCTCAAATTTTTCTAGATCTTCTCAGAGTGAAAAATAACAGTCAGACCTAATCCAAAAAAAAAAATTAACCAAAACTTTTCTTTGATCATATGCAGTTAACAATTAAATGTAGTTGTTGAAACGTGTGCCGAATACAAATTCATAATTCAGTAACCACTTTGAAAGTAACACGTTGGACTTTTAAAATTTAATCAGGTTATTTGCACACTTGCTGAAAGTGCATAGAATTAAACATCAACAAGAACTGTGTTAGAAGGGAGGGCAAAAAAGGGAACACCATCACCACTGCTCTTGAGTAGTTTAAAATTGAATGGAGCAGCAGGCAAGTAAACAGATAGGGTTTCAGCACTGTGGGTAAGTGCTGGGTTAGACATAAATGCCAGAGGGTTAGGAGAGCACACTGTGTAGGCCCCTGACCCAGCACCACCACCCCCACTCAGCTGACTGGGTGTTCCAAGACACAATCTCTTGGCTATAGGATTTGCAACAGCACAGGAACCTCAAAGAACGTGGGAGACTCAGGGAACTGAGAGACATCAGAAGCAAGAATGAAAAAGTAAGCAAGCTTTAAGTCTTGAATGTTTGCCTACTCACTTGAGCAAGAGAGGACCTAGGAAGGCTAGTAAGCAGAGTGGTAATCTCACTGGTTACGTATGGTAGGGCAACAACTCCAGCAGCAACAGAAAGCTAAGCAAGACAGCCGATAGATAAAACCCCAAAACAGGAGCAAAGAGACCAATCCTGAGGGAGACTACAATTCAGCATGGACAAAATGTTGTGATGATGGAGGATGGAAAGGGGGCCACTCCCTGTTTTCTCGTGGAACTTTCTCAGCAGCTAATGATGTCAGTCACCAGGATGGATCAAGTAGAGAACAGAAAGAAAAAAAAGAAGTGGGTGAAAGGAAAGCTGGTAAATTCAGCATTCATCTGCCAAGTGTGTAGGCCTATGAACTTCCAGATGCCAGTGTCCACCAGATAGGCTGGACAGGGGAGGATGAATGGTCAAAGAACACATGAATGCCTGAGATGCTTGTCGTAACAGCTGGCATTTATGAAGCATTTAAGTGAGGCATGTGCAAGCACTCCAGGTAGCATCTATTTATTATCTTCTCTACTCTATCGATGAGGAAGTGTTTGAATAATGTATCCATCGTTGTAAGGTATTAACCTGTAGGGGATGCCTGATTTTACAGTTCAAACCCTACCATATTATGCTGTTATATGATGCAATATCAACTACAGGTATTAAGGCCAGATAAAATAGGGTTCAGCTATAATCTTTGCTATTTAACTACTATGAAATCTTGACACATTCCAAGTCACAGTTTCTTCAGCTATGAAATACTGCAATTAATATTATATTGTAAGGATATGGCTAAAATAAGAGAGACTGTATGGGGAACACGCATATAGTTCATGAGCCATAAATTGCATCTCCTGTCTCATACATTCCCTGAGAAATAATTCTATTTAAGGTAAAGTAGATATAACCTAAGTAAATTTCCTTTTATAGTATTATTACTAACCTAATTCCACTCATATTTATTCTGTGTCTTAACAACGACTATCACACTTTTTAATATATGACTATATCCCACAAAATTTTAAACCAAAGATTTTATTCAGACAGAAACCATTTCAAGGCAAAGGGGTAATTTTCTCCTTTTTTTTTTTTTTTGGACATTTCCACAGAAATGAATGTTACAGTAAGAACACCCCAAAAGCAATCAGGCAGGCTGATGTCAAGGAGAGAGCTATGGACTTGGAGTCAGAAGCCCACTGTGAATCTCAGCTCTGCCCCTTAGCAGCCACATGTCAACAGAGGCGCATCATATCACAGCTCTAAGCACATAAGAATGAGACAAATGTGTTGAATCATTTACTCTTAATATAAATTCAGTAAGCAGACTTAAGCTAAGAAGTTCAACAGGTCACATTCTATTTCCACTTCTCTGGATTTTGTACAGTAGCATCACTGTAAACTGTTAAAAACAGGGTTCTTAAGAAAGAAGCAAACTACCTGGTTCTAAGATGTGCGAACAGGTAAGATAAATATAATGACTTACTTACAAGTTCTAGACTTCATTGAATGAGAGGTGATAAAACATTTTGGGTAACGATATCGTGAACAAAATTTCTTTCTAAAATATATTGAGTGAGCATGTGTGTTATAGTAAAAGAATTCAATCAGCTGTTTGATTTGATGACACTTTCTGCTTTAGACTGAAGGTTCCATGCTCCTAGAAATCACTCAGTTGATGGTACTACAAAGCAAACAAGTTAGCCACCCAACATTTTACACACACACACACACACACACACACACACCTTTAAGCATCCCTCTGCATATCAGAACAAAGTACCAATTACCACAATGTGAAACACAGGGCATCTTTAGCTACTCTAATATTCAGTAATTTTGAAAGATTGTTACAATTCTCCTGCCTCTTTCTTGCATTATTGCCTGTTTAACTAAAAAAAACTCAGGTAATTTTTCAAAACAACATAGCTACCACTTGATAGATTTCACAGTTTTATAGCATTAAAATCATCACTTTTCAAATATATAATGAATGAAACAAGGTATAATGAAATTCAAATATGGTTATGCCCAGCAAAGGTCAAACTATATGACCATCTTGTTTTTAAATAAAACATTCCCTGGAAAAACACAAGGTTTAGGTATAATGGCAAATATGCAGAAGAACATATATTTGTACTAAAACATTAAACCCATCATAAACATTCTTTCTAGGGCCACATTATTATCACAAGTATCTTATCCTCCTTTGCATGAGGGAGACATGAGATTCTAAAGTCAAGACATAATCATACATAAGCAGGGAACTCAATCCAGGGCTCCCATGTGATTCGCAGAAAACCACCTCCTTGAGCCGTCACTTGCTGACTCTCAGGCCCAAACCAGCAGGAAGCTGGAGTCAGCAGTGAAGCCAAGGTTTGCTTTCAGGCACTTGACTATGGGCTGTATTCAGCCCATCACCAGCCTCCAGCCCCAAAGCCCATCTGCAGGCTGTCACAGGAGCAGTGCTTTGATTCTATTCTCCGTGAACTTTTTCTCGTACCCATACACAAGCTAATAAAGAACAGCATTTGTTTGTAAAATATTTGTTATATCGTCTGATTGGTTACATCATCAGCTGCTGTGTACAGAAGAGCTTGGGAGATGGTTTCTAGAACCATGCCCAAAGTGGAGGAAACTGCATGCTCTAAAATTGCATGCTCTAAAGAATGAATGCCAAGGTGACTGTACTAACAAGCAGGAGGAATAGTCATAGAAAGCCTTTTCCTGTGCGCAATTGGAACTTTAAAAGGATCATCACACATCTAGTGAATTCTCACGCAATACATCCAGCCAAAAAAAAAAAATCCTTTGTTGAGATTTGAGGCTTTTGTGTTTAAGATGAGTAACAGCCATGCTGACCTACTTTTTATCCTGGCTTCAGATAGCAAGAAATATCTAGTATTCGTAAAATAAAACATAATGAAAGAGGTATACCAAATTGTCAAAACATTAACACAATTTCAACAACTTCATCCTTTCACCACTGGTTTTTTTAAGCACAAAATCAAGAAAGATATCAAAATATGAAGTAGAAACAGCATGACTCTCCACTGTCTGTTTTGTTCTTGAAAGAGAATTTAAAACTCAGCTAGAAATTACTTCACCAAAAAAACCTTTCTTATTAGAAAACATATTTTTGAGTAACCTAATCACACCTTTTTCCATCAAAACTGGAACTGAATTCAGACTTACTGATTGCTCATTTAAGTCCTGGGAGTCTTCCATGTGGTTCTCTCACTCTCCTGCCACTCCCACGTAGAAGCAGCGTCCTTCAATTGAAAATGGACTATCTAAAACAAAAAGATGAAATAAATGGGAAAATGTTACCTTTTTTAGTTATTTGTAAAACTGCCAAGATATACCAAGATTTAGTATGATACCTGATTATTTATGGAAGCATTTTAAAAGAATAAAATCCATTAGTATTACTACCATGTCTGATGTAAAAATAATCTTGAAAATAATACCATGGCAAGTTGGTATTGTGAACCTACTCAGGAATCCTGTAGAGAGACACAAACTAAAAAAACCTGAAGGTAATATGAAGACATAGTGTAAGGTGAATAACTGTTGCACTGTTTTGCTAATACAGGCTTATTATCAAGCAGCTGACAGACTAAAAATTAAGAAGCTGCCTTTACAATTCATTTTTTAAAGCACTTAAAATAAATTGAGCAAATTGGACATTTGTTGTGATGACAGCTTTCTATAATGGGAAAATTTGTATTACAAGGTAACCATTTTCCCTTCTAAGGGTTATGTTTTAAAACATACAAGTAACTTAAAAAGAACAAAGACAAAAATACGCAATAAATAAAGAGGAATTTGCAAATAAATATGGGTAGAGGACTGGTAAATAACCTACAGTTAGACTAGCACTTAACTACTTTTTAAGAAGGTGATCTTGTTGTGGCGTGATGGATAAGCCTGCTTTTTTGCCATCCCATATGGGTGCCAGTTCAATTTTGAGCGGCTCCCCTTCTGATGCAATCCCTACTAAGGCACCTGGGAAATTGGTGAAAGACAGAGCTCCAGGCTCCTGGCTTTGGGGTTGCTCCATTCATCGCTGCTGAGATCATTTGAGAAGTGAACCAGCAAGTGGAAAATCTCTTTTTCTCTCTCTTTTTCTCTCTCTCTTATTATGAATTACAAATAAATGAAGCTTTTAAAAATTGTCAAGGAAAATCTAAACCACCCCTACCTCTCAGGGTGGGCATTACAGAAAGCTAGAATATGAAGTAGAGCCAGAACTCAAACCAGACCCTCCAATAGGGAGGTAGGCCTCCCAAGAAGCTTTTTAAATGCTACGCTGAATGCACATGTCCTACACTGTAATTTTTACTTTGCAATACAACAAGAAGAAAAACAACATTGGGAGAAAAAACACTTGCTAAACTGTAATATTTTAACTTAAAAAAACTATACAGATATTTAGTTTATTACATATTTTCCTGCTTAGTTGACCAAGTAATAAAACACATTTACAATAAAATGAGCATTGATTCCAGTTAACCCTGTCATTTACTTACAATCTAGCATGTTGTATTAGGTTCCCAGGAATATCATACCAAAATACCAAACACACTTTGAATGAAAGAAATTGATTCTCATAGCTTTGAAACCTAAGTGATAAGTCAAGGCTTTGGTGGGTTGGGACTTCCAGGTTTCTGATGGCTGCTGTCACTCCTTGGAATTTGTTGGCCAGTAGCTACATCGCCCCAGTCCTAGTCTCCATCATCAAGGCTGCTTTCCTGCCTGTCTCTTCCAAGGTCTCTCTCTATTTCATTCCCCCTCTCTGTGTGTACACATGTGTGTCTGTCATTATTGGTTATCGTATTTACAAAGACTTTATTTACAAATAAATTCATATTCATGCATCTTTTAAAAGGCAAAATTCACCCATAACATGTACACATCTATATACACAGAAAATAACTTTAAGATGAGAAATATCTTTTAACATGTGAAAACACTTAAAGATATGAAAATACTTTGTAAGAGTTTGGCCCCATATGTAACACATCAATTTAGTCACCTATGCTCCCATCAGTTAGACACTGGGAGGAGGCAACAGGTGATGGCTCAAGGAACTGGATCCTTGCTGGGTTGAATTCCTTACTATAGACTTCAGCCTGGCCCAACCTGGGGCTGTTGGAGGTACGTGGGGCGTGAACCAATAGGTAATATCTCTCTCTCTCTCTTTCTCTCTTTTTCTCTCTCTTTTCCTCCCCTCTCTCCCTCACTCGTTCCCTATCTTTTTGCTGATACAAGCGTGTATGTGTGCTGTTTCCCCGTCTGCTCTTTTTGTCAGCCTCTCAAACAAGAGAGCATTTGTTTTAAAGCAGTGATCAAGATGTGAATGTATTTTTTCCCAGAAAACCTATCTAAGAAATAAAATAAACGTGCTGATTATCGGAACAGAAGGGTAACTTTCCAGAAGGACCACCATTTCAGTGTGCTGTTGATAACTCCAGTGAAACTAAAATTAAGACTTCAGGATAGATGTCAGAGCCTAAGGGGATTAAGCAAAAACAAGCCTTTTCTTGGTTAACTACCAGTTCAGAGTCAATTTAATGTCCCAGCTGGAGAGTTATTTGCATCAATGTCCCATGTTACAACATAATACTTTGCTTTATATTTCCTTGAAATTTAGATTAATTGTTACCTATTTGACTTTTAATGGTAACACGAATTTCTTTCTTTGCCAAACACACTAAGGTACTAAAATATTATGAGCCAGTGATTTTATATTATTGAGACAAGTAAAACTACCTAGGCTAATTGCAGACACAGTATTATTTTACATCATAATAGAGCAATAGTTGTTATGCTAAATCCTTTAACATTTAGTTCTCACAAATATATGAGAAAAGGATGAGAACCCGCTCCAAATCAAGTAAGAGAAGTATTACTTCATCATAAAGATATAAAATTAAAGAATAACAGTAACTTCATGCTGTTTTATGAGGCAATAAGGTAGTACCCAGCTCTATCTTCATACCTTTACCCTAAAAAAGGTGAATTTCAAGCAGAAATAACAGCAACTTAGCCCATTTCGCGTTAGGTTAGTTCTTCTGCAGTTATGTTTTCAATGCATAGAAATTCTTTATAAAACAATTCCAGCATTTTCTAACATATTGGTCACTCAATACCATGTCAATTAACTTCATGTTTTAAATTTCCATGTTTTTTCCTGCTGTTGAAGTTGTGTAGTGGCTTTTCATTGAAGGGATTGATATTCTACTAGCTCTACTTTCAGGCCAAGGATGGTCTCTCAATGAAACTGTTGAATTTACCTGGATAATAAGATGCTGGACTCTCTACATGATCCATGCCCACAATGAGGGAATCATGACTGGTTATGATGTGTACTACTGTAACAATATAGAGGAATCCAATATGGGGGGAGGGTTTGGGGAGGGGCTGGAGGAAACCCAGAGCCTATGAAACATTGTCTAAAATGCAACAACAACAACAACAACAAAGCATCAAAAAAAAAAAAAAACTATTCCAGGGCCAGGCAGGTGCCTTGCATGCGTCGAGTTCCATATGGGTGCCAGTTTGTGTCCTGACTGCTCCACTTTCCATCCAAGCTCCTTGCTTGTGGTTTGGGAAAGCAGTAGAGGACCCTGTATGCATGTGGAAGATGCAAAAGGAGCTCCTGACTCCTACTTCAGATAAGCTTAGCTACAGCCATTGTGACTACTTGGGGAGTGAACTAATGGATGGAAGATCTTTCTCTCTGTATCTCCTTCTCTCTGTGGATCTGCCTTTGCAATGAAAATAAATATATCTTAAAAATAAATAAAGTCTGTATCTTAGCTATACACTTCTGTTTCTTAGAAAATCAGCATAGATCAATTCAACTTATTGTATAATTTAAATACAATTTGAACTTCTTACTGAAAAAGTGTGAAATGTCCAGAACTCAAAATTATCGTTTTTAAAAGATCTAGTTATTATTATTTGAGACCAAATTACAGAAAAAGAAGAAGAGAAAATTTCTGTCCATTGGTTCACTTCCCAGATGGCCCAAACATGTGAACTAAGGCCAGACCAAAGTCAGGAGCAACTTCTGGGTTCCACGATGTGCAACAGGGGACCAAGCACTTGGGTCATCCTTTGCAGCTTTTCTTAGCAGTGAACTGGATCAAAAGTGGAGCAGCTGGAACTAGAAACATTGCCCATACAAAAAGACAGTATCACACACGATGGCTTTATCTGCTACACCATAATGATGGCCCCCAAAATGAACATGTATTGTGTCATCTCAGCACTCAGAATATTTTGACATTCAGATTAGGTGTGCTTGATGGTGAATTCCATGCTAATGTTATAAACCCCACTCCCAAAAACACTGAAATCTGAAATACTTTTAGTTCTAGGCAGATAAGGAACAAACAATCTGTCTATGAGATTGATATACACAATATCAAGCCAATTCTTAGAAATGAATAATGGCACTGTGGTCAGGTCTGAGTGACAGAGACAGCTTAAAGAACAAAATGTGAAAGGAGATTTCAGAGTTTGCAGATATTCTGTGACTTAGATTTAAATCTTCTAATCAATGTTCATTCAAAGTGGGATTGTCCAGGCATATTTCCCCTGGCTGAAGAAGAAAAAATGTGCAAGGATGACAACAGAAGCCACACATGGAGTCCTACAACTCTAGATGATTTTGGGGAGGTCCACATCACATGTCAGATTCAAGCACTAGCTCTGTTTCTCATGCCAGCAATGAGAATTCTGTGAATGCGTTCCCTGGGAAAAGGCTGGTGATGAATCATCATGTGCTTAGGTCCCTGCTATCTGCAATGGGAGACCTGGAGTGAGTTTTGGGTCCCTGGGTTCAGCTTGGCCAAGCCTTAGCTTTTAATCCATGGAGCAAATCAGTGAATACTAGTTCTCTGATTCTCTCTATATCTCTCTCTGCCTGCAAAATAAAATAAGGAATAAATGTCAAGTTCTACCAATATATCGTAGGGTTCACTCTAATCTCTCCATAGTTTTCTCTGCACTGCAGCCACTTGAGTTCCACCCATCATTGCCCATTACCTGGAAAGGGGTACTGGCTTCTTAATGGTCTCCATCTTTACAGTCCTCCTCTCTGGACATTACTTTACACAGGACAGTAGCCAGAGTAACAGTTTCTAACATACATTATCTGACTATTCTCTTTAAACTCTTCTCAGCTTTACTCCATCTTGAGGATGAAACAGAAATTCTTTCATCGGTCCTGACAATCTTTGGCAACGTGCAGCCTAAGGATCTGCTGAAAGATGCCCTTAAG